TCACAGTTGCTTAGGGCTTTCAGATTCAGAAGTTACTGACTTATCGACAGGATATTTTTAGTGAGGTTCAAACGGATTCTTATTAGGAAGAACCTTTGATATCTGACTGTATATGGGCATCACAGAGAGAAAGAGGGAGACAAAAAAAAAGACTGAGATATGCTTACGGGCTAATTAACAGTCACAATGGATGCCGAGAAATGAAGACTTGCCAGGGTCTTTGTGTGTGTGTGTGTGTGTGTGAGAGAGTGTGAGTGAGATTGAGAGATTAAGCAAACATGTGAGTGAATACAGTAGAGAGTGTGTGTATATGACTTTGTGTAATTAAATGTGTGTATATCTGCAATCACACAGCGTGTCGCCGTCTCTGGAGGTAGAGTGAGGTCACAACGCTGTGATCTGTGTCTGTGACATTTACAGTGAAACTTGAATTATTAAACATCTGGGAATATATCGATCACTTGAGGTTCATGCTGTCAAGCCTAAACTGTGTTACTCATTAAAGAACCAACAGAGCTGTAATAATCAGATAATGTCTTGAGGAATGAGTTTTGGCCTCCTTTAAAGTTCCCAACTGGGATGATTGTATGTCCTTGCGCTTCACCACTCCCCACCCCAGTCTTTCATCCCTGTTTCTTATGTGTTTGTTTTATTTCTGTCTCTGTCATTAATATCTGTACTTTATGTCTCACATGATGTTCTAACTGCAAAGACAAAGTGTGCGACCGGCTGGTGAGTGTGAGTGATTGAATAAATGTTGACGGCTCTCAGAGTTCTTGAACCTTCTCCTGTGCATTCTGTTCTTTGCTGTGCAGTATATTAGGATATGAACTTGGTGAATTTGTCACAGTCTCTCGATAACATATCCAGACCATTTTTCTCGCCGAAATCAGTGGGGGGAAATAGAAATTATATTTAGCATGATAAAAATAAAACATTCATTTGGACTATAACATTTTATGAATTGTGCCATGTTTTTCATGAAAATGAAGCAAATTTAGGGCCTCAACTGCTATTTCTATTACATTTATATATTATACATATTATAACTTTTTTCATTAATATAATCAGTCTGTCTGGACAACATGATTTCCAGTATTCCAGTACTGAATTAATATTAATATAATATATAATTAATATGCTTAAGTGGCACGAAAACCGTTAAAAATGCAAAAAATCTTAATGGTCCTAAAATAGACTTAATTTTCTTTATACAAATATAATCTATATTTAGCATAAAGAAAATAAACTCTGCTTTTGAACCATTAAAATGTTTGCAGTATGACATTCTTTTCATTCAAATTTAGGGCCCCAGCTGGTATTACTGTAATGCATCTTTACATTTAATATAATTGTAAATCATGTTTTTGCAAATTTTTGTGTACAAGCTTTTTTAAAACTAGATTTGTATATTTAATAATATACAAATATTATACATTTATTACAATAAAAAAATAAATGTTTGCGTACAACATATTAATTCTTATTTCTTTCTTTTTTATAAAAGCAAAACATGAGCCTGGACATGTTTTTGTGAGATTTCCCCTAATAACATGCTGTTATGTTGCTCATGTAACCATATAAGTGCCCTATTCACCAGAATGTCAGAAAAGGAGGTTTTGCATGTGCTTCTGCGTGTAGGCAGGAAACCCTGTGGTTTGGTAATTGACCTGGGCATCTTTACGAGTTAAAAAACTGCAATTAGCCTGGTGACTGCTGTTGCACCCCTGCAGTGCCAAAGTGTGGATTATGCAATGCCAAACTACACCGTCCCCATTTCTGATCAGTCTTGTATCTGAGATATTACTATCATGTTACTATTAGACCTCAAAGCTGATTGCTTTTAACAGATTGCTTTTTTTTTTTAAACTAAATATGTTGAATATGTTGATGTAGACTCACTCAGTATGAATCTCTTCTTTGTCACTCCATTCATCATGTCTTTTGTTGGCAGGTGGCTGAGGGCAGAACAGGTGTTTCTGTGAGGGACCCATCAGAGCGAGAGCCTTCAGTGATTAAAGCTTCATAGAAAGTAAAGGGCAGGCACAAGCTGACAGCACTGAAGCAGATATGTGGGGTCTTAAAGGGGTCATATGATGCGATTTCAATTTTTCCTTTCTCTTTGGAGTGTTACAAGCTCTTGGTGCATAAAGAAGACTCTATCCAGATTTTGGTGGATTTTTGTGCATGCTGTCATCTGTTGCGTAAACCTGTGTACAAATGGATCTTAACATGGCTGTTTTTTAAGGAAAGTACAACTAGGAACATTGTCCTGCATAGGCCTTGGGACAAGGATCTAAATATTCAAGCATTCAGGGGACCAAAGGTAAAGGTTTATTCATTAAATAAATGGTAATTTAATCCCACTGAATATTGCTGAATAACCTGCTCTACTATATGTTCCTTTTGCTTTCCGTTAAAATCAAATCTACATTAACTGTCAATAAGTTTCATTTTGGACATGCTGTGCTATAATTACATCTCTTTATATTTAATCTGTAAAACTTCTAAATGTATTTTTTTTCTATAAAGGTGAGACTGGGGCAAGATGTCCCACTTTATTCCAATAATTATTTCTCAAGGTAAGTTTATTTTTTAAAGTGTCTAAATGTTTTTTATATAAACACTAACCTGAAAACCTTGGCTATTAAAAAATGCCATTGAATATTTCAACCATTATTTGAGCCATGTTTTCACAATGGGAAACTGTGAACTGTCTTAAAACACTTGTGAAACAAAACAATTTATGAATTAGCACAAATGTAAAGGGTAAAATATATAAATGGTGAATGAATGAACCCCTATAAAATGTGACAACTTGCCTTGACCAGACATAGGCTAATTTTGTCCTTTGAATACAGATAAGTGAATACAGATTTTTTTCAATAGTCGACTCTCTTAAAGGGGTCATATGATGTTGCTAAAAAGAACATTATTTGGTGTAATGAAATGTGTTTATGTGGTTTAAGGTAAAAAAAAACACATTATTTTCCACATACTGTACATCATTGTTTCTCCTCTATGCCCCGCCTTTCTGAAACGCGTCGATTTTTACAAAGCTCATCGGTCTGAAAAGCGAGGTGTGCTCTGATTGGCCAGCTATCCAGTGCATTGTGATTGGCCGAATACCTCAAGCGTGCGACGGAAATGTTATGCCCCTACCATACTGTGACGCCCTGTACGGCCGGAGCGACGAGACAAAAACATTAAAACCCATTATAAACGAGGCATTTGTTGCATCCAGTGGGGACATAATTACGGATTATAATGACTTATACTGTCTTTTTACGCATCGCGCCGCGTAAACATAAAACCATGTCTGCATTTGTGATCGGAGAAAAGACAAACAACAAGCCCTACTCTACACTGCCCAAAAAACTCGCTTTAAATATCGTGTCCTCTTTTGGAAGGCCAAACAAAGTAGTTTCGCTTTCGCGAAGTTTATGTATTTCCTCAGCGACCTGCACGGATCAGCTCTAGGCATGACGAAGCGGATATCGTCCTCTTCTGGTTTCACAACGAAACACAGCATCTTCACGACATGGCGGCAGCAACAATACTACAGCGAGAATAAAGGTTACGCCGCCTTTCTTTGGTGAACATTTGGGCGGTGTTATGCAAATCTTCCCACATCGTGACGTAGACGTGGGGGCGTGTTAGAACGAGCCGTTTTAGGTAGGCGTGGTTGACTCTTAACTTTTATAAAGAATATCTCTTTGGATTTGAGACTTTAGTCTTTGCAACTTTACAGATCTTCTTTATGCACCAAGAGCTCGTAACAGTCCAAAGAGAAAGGAAAAATTGAAATCGCATCATATGACCCCTTTAAACTCTCCAAAAAAAGCTGTCACTGGGATGATACCCTTTCAAACGGTACACCTTTGTATCTTATTTATCCCTAAAGGGTGCATTTTGGTAGCTTAAAGGCACAGTACATAGGCTATATGTAAGTATTAGTACAAATTACTTTCGCATTTCTGCAGGCAAAAACGCTGTTTTTTTCATGCACCTGTCAAGATTGAGATTTTGGGCTTTTTGGTTTTTCATAAAGTGTTTTTTCTAGTGGACTAGTGGAAAGAAAACATCCAAAAGACACTGTTAAGTGTTTCTTTTATAGCACTTTATCTATTTGTGTCAATAGATTTCAATTACAATATATTTTTAAAGGTGGTTTTCTCAAAATGAGTTTTTTCTCCTACACTGAGTCATAAATCACCACTTCAGTAGCACTTACACACACACACACCAAACTTTACATTTTGGTACCCCAAAAATTGTGAAAATATATTGTTTTCTGTCTGTTCAAAAATGAGAAACCCAAAATTCCCTCTGTAAACACATTTGACTAATATGTCAAAAATAATTTTGAAACTGACTTCATTTAGTGTTTACATTGTTGTACTAGAAATGTATGCAAATTAGCGCATATTTCATTAAATAATGCCTAATTTGCATATTTAAACCTAACATCTTAGAAAACTTGTAATAGCCAAAAAAATTTTGCAATTATCATTGTAATCAATTAACTGGGTACGGCGATAACTATTAGCTTAGTTAATTTTTACCCAATTCACTTGCAGTGGCTTGCCTTAAGAGGATTCTATGTTTAAAAACCAACATTTAAAACAACTGCTAAAGAACTGTGTAATTGGACATTTGACTCAAAATCTCATACGCACTGAAATACAGTTTTTGTGCCATCTACCCTCTCATCTCACCAATAGCTACTATTACAGAAATTAGACTTCTTGACGTTTTAATCTGTATGATACCTTTTGCGCTAATGTCAGGTATTATCATGGCTTAAGAGCTAATCTTTGTTTTTCTGTGCAGAGGGGTTGTTGTGCGCCCTTGCGCATATAACGCGCTTGGTGTTGGAGATCCCCAGCGCCTGCCTGTGCGCGTCGGCTCAGTTGCGCATGCGCGGGGAGCTCCCCGTGCCCACCGACTTGTAGCTTTGAGCCCAGAGCGCGCGGGTGGCACGCAGAAGCTCCCGGCAGCCAGAGCGCGACGTTACCATGAGCCTCCCCGCTCCGCCGGCAGAGACTCCACGCTCAGAGAGTGCCCACCTGACGAGAGCAGCGCGACACACACAGCCGCACGATGCACGGCGGAAAGAGAGGGCTGGTGGCACCGCAAAACACTTTCCTGGAGAATATCGTCAGGCGCTCGAGTGGTGAGGAGCACGCTTATGCTTTCTGAAATGCATTCGGTCACTTGACATTACACTATGTTGCTCTGCATTTACATACTGAGTAGTCAGTATTTCAAACTTAAAACATGGGATTAATGGGTTATTCGTATGATAATAATTTTTATTATTTTTAAGATGTGAAACATGGACGCTGTAATGGAACATTTCGAAGCTGTAACTTTTATTTTGTCATTAACTTTCTTCATATTTTAGAGACTGCAGTTCTCTGAGCTGGACATACTGTGATTTGTTTTATTTTTAATGCACTGAATTATTGAGGCATTTCCGAGAGAGATTAATTTAAAATGCTATTTAAATAAAGAAACGTCTTTCGTCACTATATTTATATTTTAACATAAAGCAGTTTTCATTGCGAATGCACTTCAACACGTAACACTAACAAAACGTAATATTAATTTCTCACTGCGCTGCAGAATTAATATTTTAGAGACGTTTTTATTTCCCAGTGTTTATTTTTTTATTTATCTAGGCTAACTAAATTATTTAAATCTATGTGTTTTTTGAGTCAAGTGATTTTAGTTCTTTAATAATAATAATAATAATAAAAACAGCAGTTTTAACATCTGGAGAAATTTACTAATTCTAATAAACAATCAAACAGTAAGCAGCGTAACTGACTAAATCATTGTGTGTTGTTAATTATAACCTATACAATTTAAATAATAAGACACTTCTCGTTCAGCTGATTAAAAAGGCACTCGATATAATTTCACTCCACATCTCTGCGCCAGCAGAGCATCAGGACTGGCTTGAAAAGTCCCTTTGATGGTTGTGAGAGATCTGAAGCAAATTGCGGACTGTTGCGTTTTCCACCACTAGAGGGAGCATCATCTCTCATTGTGTCTGGTTTCTTTATACTGCATCACAAACAACCCTTATCTGAGGATTATAGTAGGCTATATAAGACATGATAGTTAAAGTGTGAAAAAATTATTTGAATATGAATCTAATAAGAGGTTTTAAAACATCCCATTCACATTCTGCAATAAGAATGACAGCGTTTTGTAGTTTAATTTGATGAGCTTTTGAACGTCTACCCTTTATAGAGAGTACACCAGATGTTAAAGTAGATCAGTGACAGTAATTTACTGTGAAGCAAAGACTGGGAATGCATTAGTGTGTGGCAGTCAGATCACTAATTCCCACTCCCTCTTTTATTCTTTGTCATCTCTGAACCTTCAGAGACAAGTTTCTTGCTGGGGAACGCTCAGATTGTGGACTGGCCTGTAGTTTATAGTAATGACGGCTTCTGCAAGCTGTCTGGATACCACAGAGCAGAGGTCATGCAGAAAAGCAGCACGTGCAGGTGAGTGGATATACATGTGACAATAGAAATCTGTAGGACTATGTTACACAGTTCATGCTGTATTGAGATCTCGGGTTTTGCAGTACCTTAAGGGGCCTGTTAAATAAAACAATAAAACAGCTTAAGACTGAAGCTTTAAATGATTTGTTGTGGATCCATGTGGACTCATTTCTACAAAACCAAGAGGTGATGTTGTCATGATCTTGAGGTGTTACATCACTTTGGCTCTGCCTAAAGTAGTGTAACATGTAAAGCGAATCTTGAAATTACTGATTATTCTTTTTTTGAAATGATGTAAATGAGTTTGGTATTAGGAATTTGGAATTCAAGTTTTAATAGATGAAAGTATCTTTTTGGCCAAGCCATGATATGGCATCACATACTGTGATATATAAAATCTCATTTCAATAAGTGGCTCTCATAAAGTGCTGAGCCACAGATATACTGTCTTCCAGGTCTTAGAGACTTCATATCACACTTTACAGCATCTCTTCTTGACAATTTTGTGTCATTAATAAGCCGTCATCTATGACTGCAACAGAAACAAACATGCCATAATTGGTCACACTTTGCTTCAGGTGTGAGTTGCCTATGAATCTCAGATTTTTCTGTAATCTTTTAATCTTTGTAATAACATATGGCCGTAATTCATGTCTGTTGGCAAAGTGTGGAAATCTGAAACCTGAACATCTTCTGATCATTTTACTTGCTCGCGTGAATTCCTGAATTCATTAGAATCTTTATAAATCTGAATCAAAGGATTGATGGGAGGGATAATTCCTTAAAAAACCATACCGAAACTTTCTTCTTAAACTGAACGATTTGGCTTGAAAACAGGAGATTACTGTCTGTCTGTCTGAATAATCTCTCTCTGTAGTTTTATGTATGGGGAGCTGACAGACAAGAAGACCATAGAAAAGGTGAGACAGGCCTTTGACAACTATGAGTCCAACTGCTTTGAAGTGCTGCTGTACAGAAAGAACAGTAAGTGAGACTTGATGTATTAAATTTTGCCATTTAAACTATGGGTCAAAAAGTGGATTTTTTTTTTAAAGTTTTGATTAAAAAAAAAAGAAGTCTCTTATGACCAAGTCTGTCATTTATTTGATTAGAAATAGCAGTAATATTGTGAAATATTGTTGCAATTTAAAATAACAATTTTCTGTTTTAATATGTAATTTATTTATATGATGGCAAAGCTGAATTTTCACTAGCCATTACTTAAGTGTCACGTGACCCATCAGAAATCATTTTAATATGCTGATTTGGTGCTCAGTTATTAATAATGGTTATTATTTTCAATGTTGAAAAGATTTGCTGCTTAATATTTTTGTGGAAACTGTTATTCTCTGATGAATAGAAAGTTCAAAAGAACGGCATTGAAAACTTTTGTGACATTATAAATGTCTTTACTTCTCTTTTAAAAATATATTTTTTAATTAAAATTAAAAAAAGCTTTCTGACCCCAAACTTTCGAGTCAAAGTCATGGTTTCTGCAAAAAACAAGACTGTTGTCAACATTGATAATAATAAGAAATGTTTTTGAGCACCAAATCAGCATAATAAAATGATTTCTGAAGAATCATGTGACACTGAAGACTGGAGTAATGGCTGTATAAAATTCAGCTTTGCCATTTTGCCTGATTTGAATCCAAAAAATCCAAGCCATAATTAGCAACTGGATTATCATAGGTCATTGGATGTGAGCTCTTTTGACTTGGGCATAAAAATGTGCTCTTATAAGGTTATTGTCATCCAATAAAATACAATTTGTACTATGGTAAAAAATGGCTGCCCACTGCTCCGGGTGTGTGTTCACGGTGTGTGTGTGTTCACTGCTGTGTGTGTGCACGTTGGATGGGATAAATGCAGAGCACTAATTCCGAGTATGGGTCACCATACTTGGCCACATGTCACGTCACTTTAATAATGCTGACTTTGACATCTCACCTTGCACAGGAACTCCAGTGTGGTTCTACATGCAGATTGCACCGATCCGAAATGAAAATGACAAAGTGGTTTTGTTCCTGTGTACATTTAAGGACATCACTGTCTTTAAACAGCCTATTGAAGATGAAAGTACCAGGGGTGAGTTTTACACCTGCACACACACATATAGGCTATACATATACTGTACATAGTACACTTGTAATTTCAGTGATTTATTCAAAATAGATTCTCTAAAAGTCACAGTTGAACATGTAATGGTAACAGACGTGCCAGTAGTGTTTGTTGGGCTTGAGTTTGTTTTTACAGATAAACACTTCCTCTAATGTGCTTATGTCAGATAAATAAATATTTGTTTATGATTGGCAAGCATTGCCAGCTTTTCCTTTTGGCACTCACACACAAGTGTTATTTTCAAGCACTTCTGTGTGTGTGTGTTTGCTGGTGCGAGCTTGTTTATTGAACTGAAAAAAGTTATATAGAGTCTCATTCCAAAAATCCCAATAGTGCTGGCAAAGGCGTTCTGCTCTGGTGTGTGTGTGGGTGAATTTCACAAAACCTGTTTTAAACAAGGTCCAAGTCACATTTCACCCCAAAATCAAAAGAAAGAAATAAGAAATTATATTTTTTCAAGTAGAAGCCTATTTTTAGGACCATTATGTTTTTTAGTGTCAGTTATGACACTATTTTAATGACATTATTTTCTTTAAAATAAGACAGTTACTGTGTTACAGTAATCAGAATCACTATTGAGAATAAAGGGGAATTATGTTACAGTAATGAGAATTTTGAGGGAAAATGTCATAGTGGATTGTGTCACATTTTTTATTATACTAAGTGATTTTGGTTTGAAATGTGATGTGAACATGTTTGCAGGAGATTGACCAGTGTGTATGAGATGAGCATTATACACTTAGGAATGAGAGAGAGAGAGAGAGAGATTTGAAACGGCTGCAGACAGTGTTCCAGGAGTTATATTTACATTTACATTTAGTCATTTAGCAGACGCTTTAATCCAAAGCGACTTACAAAATATTTCATTGCAAGATCGTTGCAGGAGTGACAGCAAACATTTGTTCCACTTTTACTCATCATAAAGCATTTTGCTGAGTCATATCTGAGCCACAGAGGATTAATGTTTTTGTTCTGTGCATATACCATTCAAAAAGGTCAGTACTTTTTTTATTTATTTTTTTATTTAATACTTTTATTCCGCAAGGATGCATTAAATTGATAAAAAAAAAAATGACAGTAAAGACTTTTGCAATGTTACATACATTTTCTATTTCAAATAAATGCTGTTGTTTTGAACTTTCCATTCATCAAAAAATACTGAAAATGTCACTGATTACACAAAAATAATAACAACATTAATAATAAACAAATCAGCATTTTAGGATGATTTCTGAAGGAGCATGTGACACTGAAGAGTGGAATGGCTGCTGAAATTTCAGCTTTGTCATCACAGGAATAAGTAACATTTTAAAATACAAATAAAATAGAAAATTTTTATTTTATATTGTAATAATATTTCACAATATTGTTTTTACTGTATTTTTGATCAAATAAATGCAGACTTCAATGCAGATAATATATATATACAATATATACTGTATATATATAAATATATATAAATTACTGACCCCAAATTGTATTTTTATTTATAACATCCACAATATTTTCATTAATTAACCAAATTAACAAACTTCAACAAATGACAAGGAGCTTGTCAAACGTTTTATAAAAAATCTCAGATTCATGCTTCATTTGTACAGAACTTTCATTAAAGCAAAATACTGAACTGAATTCAGTTGTGCAGAGTATTTTATAAAAACACCACAGAATTTAATTAAATTGAACTGAAAGACACATAATATTATGAACTCACTGCATCTATCTTTCAATTCAGTGTAGCATTTTTTTATAAAATGCATCATATGTTTCTTGCAGGTTGGACCAAGTTTGCACGTTTGACTCGAGCGTTGACGAACAGCAAAAGCACCAATCAGCAACTCACGCCCATGAGCAGAACCGACATCACTTCACACAAACAGTCCAGACTCGCAGAGGTGAGAACACACACACACACACACCCACACACACACAGACAGGCAGCATTTGCTTACATCCTTGACTGCGCAGTACAAGGTTATTCAAAACTTCATCTCACGGAGGACAAACTTGTAATAGAATCACACACAGGACGCTGCTGTAACGCAATCTCACACGTGTCTGTTGGACAGCAGAAGTCTACAGTGGGCTGCCAGAAGCTGCTATTAATAATTAACACTGATGAAGTGTGTACTGTATGTGTGTGTCCCATAACCCCTGTTCACTTTTCTGCTTTTCTCATCTGTTGGTTATTGCTCCGTCACTGTTGTGTGATGGTGTTAAAGAGGAGTGAAATGTGTTGTTGTTTTTTGTGTCTGTAAGGAACAATCCTTACATACTATATTGCACCTAAATCTTTGGAAGAGTTTTAATGAGGGAAGCATTCAAGGACGGGTTTGTTTTGCGAGGCTTTTATGATGGATTAATGTCTCTGATCTGTACTGTTACAGTGTTTGCAGCATTAAAAAGAACATTATTTTGTGTATTTGGTGTAATTAAATGTGTTTATGCGGTTTAAGGTTAAAAAAACACATTATTTTCCACATACTGTACATTATTGTTTCTCCTCTATGCCCCGCCTTTCTGAAACGCGTCGATTTTTACAAAG